TCTTAGTTTCAGGCGGGACACGTGACCGCTTCACGCGGTCACTGCCCGCCTTCCATCCAAAGCAGTCGGATGAGCCGCGCGCGGCTCGTGCAGCCGCAGGACCGCGCGCGGCTTGAAGAGAGGACCGCGACCGGCCCCCGGTTAAGGTAAGTAACGCTACAGGTTGTGAATAAATTGGCCATGGTATGATAAGGTCATGGTTGCCACTGTAAGCTGGAATTACTTAACAGCCTAGATGCTGGGTAAGACCGTACCATAGGCATTGCACGTGCATGTCTAGTATGGTAACTTGTACCGTGGTTGCCCGAGCAGTCAAATAGCCAGGAAAGCGGGAAAAACTATATCATATGATGTATATGAACTGGTCTAATACGCTGTGGTGATGCGGGAATAGTCCAGTATGGAATTGACTATGTAAGCCCCATGGCGGCTGGCTAGTAAGGTCGACCAAGGGAAACTTAAATGACCCATATGATAACTTTGGTACATATCATGGTGTATGTGGCATGTTGCGCGCGTCGTAAATTGACATAATGCTTAGACTGAAGTAGTACAATGAGAGGTAAGGAGAACGTCTGTTATGAGGGAATTATTATCTACTGTGCGTTTGGCCAGGAGTAGGTCGTGTAGGTATGGGTCGTGAGGAGAGCTACTGTGTGGCCGTATGTGGACAGTGCCAGATATAGCAGAAGTATAATACTATAAGACGTGGTTGATTTACAGGTAGAAAGCTGTGAGATAGCTGCACTTTTACGCATACATTCCTATCCAGCTGATATTTGAACTTAGTGCCCAAATGAGGGGTTGCAAATAAGACGTATTTGTCCACTAAGGTTACCTGAATTATGTTGCAAAGGCCCATAGATGGCTTTGTGTGAGGACTATGCATAAGAGGTTGAGAGCGGCCCAATGTAGTTCCTGTGGTACGGGAAGGTAACATAAGTCTGACTGGAATTTAATGAGGTGGGGTTGGTGGTTTATTTTAAGTTATACATCAGTTGAAAGTTACTGGTTATGACAGCGTAGCCATAATTGAAATATGGTCCTACTGATATCGTACAGCAACTTTCAGCGTAACATATGATCGTTGTAGGGGCTACACGGGGAACATGATAGAGGTGCTGACATGCCATGACTAATTATACTATATACCTACCAAGTCCAATGACCTGAGGGTAGATGTACAGGACACAATTGCCAGGAATATAGGCTGAGACATGTGGAATGCAGTAGTGTCTGTACTGACACAAGACCAGGAAGGTTATAACTATATTGATGAATAATTTCCAGTCTTGTCTCTGGCCTTAAGGACCACTGAGATATCGCCCCAGGTGTATGTCAGGATTACTGTTTGATCCAGCACGTAGAACTGTACAGCACGGAGGACAAATAAGTAACGTATTACCGGTCCTTAGAATGGCCGGATTTAACGTACAAAGAATAGTCAAAAATACTAGCCGAGGTCAGGGAACACAGAAAGGGACACAGCAATGAGGAAAGCCAGGAGTCAGGATACCAAAATATAGAGAAATCAATAAACAAAGCCAAAGTAAAAAACCAGGTAGAAAACTATAAACAGGAACGCGCTCTCGGACAACCACAAGGGAAACCACGACAGGGCACTGAGCAGGCTGAGAACTGGGCCTAAATACCCCTCCTTTAGTTCTGATGGGCTGTAACCGGCCTTTGACCCCAAAGTCAGTTACCAGGTTTCATTTGCATAATTGCTGCTCAGCATTAACCCTTCTGTGGATTAGGTTGCTGCTCGGCACAACTTTTCCTGTGTGGACAGTAAATGTCATTAACCACTTTTCTATAAGCGGATGAATACATGACACCAGGTTTCATTTGCACAATTACTGCTCAGTATTAAACCTTCTGTGGATTAGGTTGCTGCTCGGCACAACTTTTCCTGTGTGGACAGTAAATGTCATTAACCACATTTCTATAAGCGGATGAATATGTGACAGTGTATGAGCGGTACTCTGTGACATCCTGGGAGGCAATGAGAAGCAAGACAAGATCAACGTCCTTGCCCTCTAGGATGTCCTTTGTTTTGCCTGTACCAAATGGTTGGGGTAATGACTTGAGGCCCTAAGATGATGGGCATGTTAGCATAACCGGGTTGGGAATGGGGAGGGCCCGGAATATCAGTTGCGAGTGGTTTCTGGTGTCACGACTGGACAGCTACGGGCTACCGTTCTCTTTAGTCTATATTTCATCTGCCTCATGGATATTACTATAGAGGTGATCCTGGTATACAGGTTGGCATTGCTCGTGTCACTAGTGCTTTCTACCGTGTCTGATTTTTTAGTATTGTCTTGCATTAGCCTGAATAGTTATGCTTTGCGGGCAGTAGCTGTAAAGGGTATGTTGCCCTGCATAATTCGGCCGTGATTCGTGGGATGGTCCACGATTTAATGGAAGATGGACTGCCGGAGTCTCCTTTTTTGTAGGGACGGCAGTCCTTGTTGGAGTACTTGGAATAGAAATGTCATCTCCTTCTTCTGGAACCTGGGACATACTAAAATATATATGTAGGAATCATGAGTTCCTCTTGAGGGTGTATACAGATGTTTTAACTAGTGCCAAAGTGGCGAAACAATTTGTTAGACTGGTGATCGGTGAGTCCCTACTGGTTGCCTAGTGGCTGGGTCGGCTCTACCTATGGTTGGCACGAGGGGTTGATCTGCTGGATGTGGGCTTACAAGGAATGAGTCTTTGATTTGTGCAGGGGGTGTGATGAGTAATTCCCTTGCTAAGCTAAACATGCGAGGCGTCTACCTTGTTTCTCCGAAAATAAGACCGGGTCTTATATTAATTTTAGTCACAAAAAACACACTAGGGCTTATTTTAAGGGTAGGGCTTAGAGCCAGTCTGTCAGCCGGTGTCCGCGCTGTGTAACCCCCATGAGACCCTCACCTCCCTCCCTGTAATATTCCCCTCCACCTGTAATACTCTCCCCACCTCCCTCCTGTAATAGTCTCCCCCCTCCCTCCTCCTATGGCATTCTCCTCCCCTCCATCCCTGTATTCTCTCCCCCCACCTCCTCCCTGTAATATTCTCCCCCCCCTCCTCCTGTATCCTCTCCCTCCTCCCTGTAGCCTCCCCCCTCCTCCCTGTGTGTGCCTCCCTCTCCCTCCTCCTGTAATACTCCCCCCCCTCCTGTAATACTCCCCCCACTCCTCCAGTCTTCTCCTCACCTCCCTGTAGTGTGAACCACCTCTCAGGTCTGCGACCGACGGACTGTCAGGAAGTGCACATAGTGCTTCATCAATATGGTTATAACATTCCTGGTCTGTGTCGTACAGACACTACCTTCTCTACCCTCCCCCCATCCCTTAGTGCTCTCTCCTCCCCCCATAGGGCTCTCCCCTGCCCCTTAGTTGTCTCTCCTCTCCTCCCCTGTCCTTAGTGGTCTCTCCTCTTTCCCAGCCCATTAGTGGTCTCTCCTCTCCCCGGTGGTCTCCACACCCCTCCCTGCATACTTTGGTGGCACTCTCCTCTTCTTTCCCCCTTTCATTGGTGATCTCTCCTTCCCCCCACTCCCCCTTTAGTGGTCTCTGCTCTCCTCTGTCCCCCCCATAGGGGTCTCCCCCCCCTTTCCATTAGTGGTTTCTCCTCCCCCCCCTCCTTCCTTAATGGTCTCTCCTCTCCCCCTTGTTGTTTCTCCTTCCCCCTACCCTTAGTGGTCTCTCCTCTCCCCCTTCCCTCCAAGTGCTCTCTCCTCTCCCCTAGCGGTCTCTTCTCACTCCCCCTCCCTTAGTGGTCTCTCCTCCACCCCCTCTCCCTCCCTTAGTGGTCTCTCCTCACTAGACATGTGCAATTTGTTTCAGAGACTTCAGAATTGTCGAAGTTCCGAAATTGCAGAATTTCCCGAAGTTCAGAAACACAGTATTGCCGAAGTACTAATATACCTACCAGGCAGGGGCGGACTGACCACTCGGGCACTTCGGTCATGGACCGAGGGCCCGAGGCAGTCAGGGGCCCGGCAGCACAGCCATGCTCCAGCTGGAGAGATCAAAGATCTCTCCAACTGGAACAGCAAAATTAAAAAAAATAAAACTATTTAATTGATAGGTTGTGGGGCCCCTGATGCAGCTTGGGGCCCCACAACCTACCGCCCTGTAAGTCCCCCCCCCATGGAGACCTGGCAGCTTTACCTCCTCTCCCTCTCTGCCAGGTCTCCTTCTCCCTGTCCCGCGGTGCTCTGTGTGATGGGAGAGGTGGGGCCAGGAAGTGACATCACTTCCTGTACTCGCCTCTCACACACAGAGCCCAGCGAGGGGAAGGAGCAGCAGCCAGGGAGATCAGAGTAAGCACAGGTAGGCTCTAATCACCCCCTCCCTAGTCACCCCCCACACTGTCACTAGTCACCCCCCCTGTCCCTAGTCACCCCCCCACTGTTACTAGTCACCCCCCTGTCCCTAGTCACCCCCCCCCCACTGTTGCCTAGTCACCCCCTGCCTAGTCGCTGTCACTAGTGCCCCCCACTGTTGCAAATGCCCCTATCCGCCTGCCCCTAGTCACCCCCCTGTCACTAGTCACCCCCGCACTGTTACTAGTCACCTCCCTGTCACTAGTCACCCCCGTCACTAGTCACCCCCCCACTGTTACTAGTCACCCCCCCACTGTCACTAGTCACCCCTCCTCACTGTCACTAGTCACCCCCCCTCTCACTGTCACTAGTCACCCCCCCATCTCACTGTCACTAGTCACCCCTCCTCACTGTCACTAGTCACCCCCCTCCTCTGTCACTAGTCACCCCCCGTCCCTAGTCACCCCCCCTGTCCCTAGTCACCCCCCCACTGTCACTAGTCGTCACCTCCCTCACTCTGTCACTAGTCATCCCCTCACTCTGCCACTAGTCACCTCTTCCCTCACTCTGTCACCTGTCACCCCCTCACTCTAGTGACAGAGTGAGGGAGGGTGTGACTAGTGACAGAGAGAGGGAGGGTGTGACTAGTGACAGAGGGAGGGAAGGGGTGACTAGTGGCAGAGTGAGGGAAGGGAGGGGTGACTAGTGACAGAGTAAGGGGATGACTGGTGACAGAGTGCGGGAGGGGGTGACACAGTGATGGAGGGAGGTGGTGACTAGTGACAGAGTGAGGGAGGTGGTGACTGTCACTAGTCACCACCTCCCTCACTCTGTCCCTAGTCACCCCTCCCTCTGTCACTAGTCACCCCTTCCCTGCTTACCTGTCACTAGTCACACCCTCCCTCACTCTGTCACTAGAGTGATGGGGTGACTAGTGGCAGAGTGAGGGAAGGAAGGCGTGACTAGTGACAGAGTGAGGGAGGTGGTGACTGTCACTAGTCACCAGCTCCCTTACTCTGTCACTAGTCATCACCTCCCTCTGTCACTACTCCCTCCCTCCTTCTATCACTAGTCACCCCCTCCGTCCCTCACTCTGTCACCAGTCATCCCCTCCCTCTGTCACTAGTCACCCCCTCACTCTAGTGACAGAGTGAGGGAGGGTGTGACTAGTGACAGAGAGAGGGAGGATGTGACTAGTGACAGAGGGAGTGGGTCACTAGTGACCGAGGGAGTGGGTCACTAGTGACAGTAAGGAAGGGGATGACTAGTGACAGAGTGAGTGACTAGTGACAGAGTGAGGGAGGGAGTGGGTGACTAGTGACAGAGTGAGGAAGGGGGTGACTAGTGACAGAGTGAAGGAGGTGGTAACTATCACTAGTCACCCCATCACTCTATCACCTGTCACCCCGTCACTAGTCACCCCCTCACTCTAGTGACAGAGAGAGGGAGGGTGTGACTAGTGACAGAGAGAGGGAGGGTGTGACTAGTGACAGAGTAAGGGAGGGAAGGGGTAACTAGTGAGAGTGAGGGAGGTGGTGATTAGTGACAGAGGGAGGAATGGGGTGACTATCACTGTGTCACCCCCTTCCTCACTCTGTCACTAGTCACCCTCTCCCTCCCTCACTCGGTCACTATTCACCCCCTCTCTCACTCTGTCACCAGTCATTCCCTCACTCTGTCACCAGTCATCCCTTCCTTCCCTCACTCTGCCACTATTCATCCCTTCCCTCACTCTGTCACCAGTCGTCCCCTCACTCTGTCACTGTGAAGGAAGGAAGGGGTGACTGGTGACAGAGTGAGGGAATGACTGGTGACAGTGTGACTAGTGACCGAGTGAGGGAGGGAGAGGGTGACTAGTGACAGAGTGAGGAAGGGGGTGACACAGTGATAGTCACCCCATTCCTCCCTCTGTCACTAATCACCACCTCCCTCACTCTCACTAGTCACCCCTTCCCTCCCTCACTCTGTCACTAGTCACACCCTACTCACACCCTTACTCACTGTCACTAGTCACACCCTCCCTCTCTCTGTCACTAGAGTGAGGGGGTGACTAGTGACAGAGTGAGGGGGTGACAGGTGATAGAGTGAGGGAAGGGGTGACTAGTGGCAGAGTGAGGGAAGGGAGGGGTGACTAGTGACAGAGTAAGGGGATGACTGGTGACAGAGTGAGGGAGGGGGTGACACAGTGACGGAGGGAGGTGGTGACTAGTGACAGAGTGAGGGAGGTGGTGACTGTCACTAGTCACCCCATCCCTCTCTCTGTCACTAGTCACTCCCTCCCTAACTCTGTCACTGTGTCACCCACTCCCTCACTCTGTCACTAGTCACTCCCTCCCTAACTCTGTCACTGTGAAGGAAGGAAGGGGTGACTGGTGATAGTTAGGGAGGGAGTGACTAGTGACAGAGTGAGGGAGCGGGTGACACAGTGACAGAGAGAGGGATGGGGTGACTAGTGACAGTCACCCCCTCCCTCTGTCACTAGTCACTCCCTCCCTCTGTTACTAGTCACTCCCTCACTCTGTCACCAGTCATCCCCTCACTCTGTCACCAGTCACCCCTTCCCTCCCTCACTCTGCCACTAGTCATCTTTTCCCTCCCTCACTCTGCCACTAGTCACCCATTCCCTAACTCTGTCACTAGTCACCCCCTCTCCCTCCCTATGTCACTAGTCACCCCCACTCACTGTGTCTCCCCCTCACTCTGTCACCACTCAACCCCTCCCTCCCTCACTCTGCCACCAGGTACCCCTTCACTCTGCCACCTGTCACAACCTCCCACACTCTTCCACCTGTCACCTTCTCCCTCACACACTGTCACCTGTCACATATGCATTCACACAGACACTATATACAAAAAAGCACATGTAGTCATCCCGACATGCACAAGTGCATTCACACAGACTCAAATACAAACATGCATTGATACACAGGTCTTCACAATATACACATCCAAAGGAATGCTGTATTATGAGTTATATTTAACATTTATTTAATGCACATATATTTGGCCTTCAAAGGGCCTGGGATCTAATTTTTCCCGGGGGCCCCAAAGGCTCTCAGTCTGCCCCTGCTACTAGGGGAAGAATGTTACACTGTATACAAGTTTAACCCCTAAAGGACACATGACGTGTGACATGTCATGATTCCCTTTTATTCCAGAAGTTTGATCCTTAAGGGGTTAAATAAAAAGTATACAAACATAGCCAGGATTCAGCTGTAAGCATTTGCAACACTTACAACAATCAAGTAACACACATTCATATAAAATGTAAGTTACTTAGCCAGTCAATGGAATGACAGGAATGAATAAGTAGATAACTCCCTAATTCCCACGGTATTAGGGAGCTATCTACCAAATATACTAATACCAAGTAAAGATTACTTAGTATTAGTAAATTGTGTCCCTACTCGCTATACCGTGAGTAGGGGCATGTCTAGTAAACAGTGAGCTCAGGATGCTCACTGTTTAAAAGACATGCCCCTACTCGCGGTATAGCGAGTAGGGGCAGATTATTTACTAATACAAAGTAATTTTTACTGAGTATTAGTAAATTTGTCTGAAAGACCAATTTAGGTCTTTCAGCCTTTTGGTAGATAACTCCCGAATACCGTGGGAATTAGGAAGTTATCTACTATGCGGCTGCAAAGGAAGTCCCGAAGTGCCGAAGACCTGAAATTCCGAAGTGCCAAAGTTCCGAAATGCTGAACCGAAGTTCTGAAGGCCGAAACCGAACTGAATATTTTCCCCATGCACATCCCTACTCCTCACCCCTGCTCTCCCTCCTTTAGTGGTTTCTCCTCACCCCTGCTCTCCCTCCCTTAGTGGTCTCTCCTCACCCCCCCCCCTCCCTTGTGGTCTCCCCCCACTCCCTTAGTGGTCTCTCCTCACCCCCCTCTCCCTTTGTGGTCTTTCCTCACCCTCCCTCCCTCCCTCCATGGTCTCTCCTCACCCCCCTCCCATAGAGTTCTCTCCTCCACCGCCCTCAGTGGTCTCTCCCCCCGTTCTCCTCACCCCCCTCTCCTACCCTGTTTAGCATGGCCGAGCTTTCTGTTTCCTGTACCCGGCCAGACTGGCAGAAGGTGCTCACTCAGTGAGCACTTCCTGTCAGTCCGGCCGGGTACAGGAAACGGATGCTCCTGTACTGCGGACTGTATGGAGCTCGGCCACGTTACACTGAGGGACTGGCAGGAGGGAGCGCTGTGCGCTTCCCTTCGGCTGATCCCTCATATCTTGCGCTCCCAGGCAAATGCACCCTCATGGACGCGCTGGCCCGGGCAGTGCTGCAGCCGCCTGAGGCTCTCTATAGAGCACAAAGGCAGCTGCAGCATGAGGGGGCCTGTGCTCCTGGCGGCACCCCTTCCTAAAGGACACCCTAGGCAACTGCCTAAGTCGCCTATAGGAAGCGCCGGCCCTGGATCGGAACAGTGGATGTGTTGTTGAAGGAAACGTGATAGGATCAATCATAAAGGTAGGATAAGAACCAGGTGATTGTAGTACCAGTGATACCAAAGTTAATCCTAGTGAGGAAAAGTCAGATCATCAGCAATATCATAGGTGGTGGATGAATCAAGAAGGATCAAGATGTGTGAGAATTTTGAGTGTTGTGCTTGTGTGAGCCATTGTGAACAGAGAGAATATTGTTTTAGTCAAGTAGGCAGACCAGGAACCAGATTGGGTGGCTGGGAGGACAGAATGGGAGCAGATGAAGGCAGTTCCTAAAACTCACCCTCTCCAAGACAGTTACACCTGAGCCTGTGTTAAATAAAGTCAATGCTCCATATCCTAACATCTACAACCCTACCATACAGGCACATTGCCTTGGTGTACTCTTTGACTCTGACCCTTTCATAAAAGGGTCACCAAATTCTGACATTTTCACCTTAAAAACATTTCTTGCATTCACCTCTTTCTCACTTAGGTTGCATCCAAGACAGTGCTATCATTGTTTCCTGCCTTGATTATTGTGACCCTCTACTTATTGGCCTGAAAAGTGCCAGATTGACCCATCTAGAGTCTATAATGAACAGCTGTGCCAGACTCATCTACCTTAGGTCTAGCAATTCCCACACCTCACCCATTTGCCAGTCTTCCTGTTTCATTCAAGTTTTGGTTCAAAGTTCTAATGCTTACTTACAAAGCTCTCCATAACCATGCCAATGTTTACACCTCCTCACTGATTAGCAGATATGCTCCAGCTCTTTGCTTTTCCAACAACTTGTTACTATCTTGTTCTCGTACCTAAAACTCTGACTCATAGGACTTCACTAGGGTTGCCCCTCCAAGTAATATCTTTCCGCAGCACATAAGACTCTCCTAGTCTCTGCAGTACTTTAAAAAAAAAAAACACACACACCCCACACCTTATTAGATCTGCTCACCCCTTAACTCTTCATCCTTATAACCTTCCTTTGCCATCTCCCATCTACTGATCTACTGTGTTCCATCCTCCCGAACATCCCCCATTCTTCAGGTACATATCACTCATTTAATTTCCTATTGTCTCTTTGTGTATTTGTCTCTCTTCCCTTTAGATTGTAAGCTCATTTGGAAAGGGCCCTCTTCACCTATTGTATGTTAAACATGTCGTTTTAGAATTAAATATTTGTCTTCTTTACCTGTTGTACAGTACTGCACTATATAAATAATTGAAAATAAAGACGACATGTTCAAGTAGTTTAGAGGAGTAAGGGAAGGTCTTGTTAGGATTTGTATAGGTCCCAGCATGCTATGATAGCAGGAAAACATATTACCAGTCTTTAGAGATGGCCAGGCTTAATGCTATAAATAGTAACAGGAATGGTCAACAACAAATCAAGATCAAGGAATCCAGGAAGGCACCAAGACAGTGAGACAAGCCAAGGTCAGGACACGAGAACAGGAAAAAATCAGAGTAGTTAAATAATTGGTCAAAATCCAAATAAAGTTAAATAAAAGGTCAAAATCCAAATAAGCAGTCACAACATATACACTGTTTTGGGCTACTAGAGACCAAGACAGGGCACAGGACTCTTGGTAGAGTTTTAATAACCCTAGTGTCTGATATCATCTGAGTGATACCAGAACGTCATTGGCTTGTGACACCATGGTACCATACCTATGTCATTTTCAGCTGTAAATCTGGCATGGACATGATGGTCCACATCATTACTAATGCATGATAAACACAAGACAAGTTGCCTCATGGCGATCTAAACACTAGTTCAACATGACGTGGTACAAGTGGGTTGCCTTGTGTCGGTCTTTTCACTAGAGTGACACGGAGCAAGCAGGTAGTCTTCTGTCGATTTCACCATTGAACACAATGTCTTATGAGCATGTTGTCTCTCATCAAAATTGACAAAGGAAGGACACGATATACTGGAGCTTAGATTATTAGCTACAATATTAATGCAGGTTATAACTGACAGATCCTCAGCAAGTTACAAGGCAAGGCAAAAATCCTACCAAAAGCAAAGTAAGGAGTGATAAGCATATTACCGTGACTGAGCTTAATGCTTAGTAGGAACTAGGAAGTAACAGAACTATACAAAGATTTTATACAAACCATTAGGAGAATAATATAAACATAAACAGCAATGGCAAATATACACTGAGCAGCCACAGCATTAAAACCACTGACAGGGTCAAATAGTGGTTGCTAGATGACTGGGTCAAATAGTGGTTGATGGATGACTGGGTCAGAGCTCCAAAACGGCAAGTCTTGTGAGGTGTTCCCAGTATGCAATGGTTAGTACCTACCCTACCAATAGTGGTGGAAAGACTGCTGAAACGGCATCAGGGACATGGATGCCAAAGACTCATTGATGCACATGGGGAGCAAAGGCTAGCCAATCTGGTCCAATCACAAAGAAGAGCTACTAAAGGTGTCAGAACATCATTGCAGTTTGCTACCTATGGGACTGTGTAGCTGCAGACTGATCAGAGTGCCCACGATGATCCCTGTCCACCGCCTAAAGCACCTTCCATGGGGACATAAATGGCAGAACTGGACCATGCGGCAATGGAAGAATGGAGCCTGGTCTGATGAATCACGTTTTCTTTTAGATCAGGTGGATGACCATGCACGTGTGTGTAATTTACCTGGGGAAGAGAATGCAGCAGGATGTACTATGGGAAGAAGGCAGGCCAGCGGAAGCAGTGTTATGCTCTGAGCAATGTTCTACTTGGAAACTTTGGGCCCTGCCATTCATGTGGCATGTGCCATTTATGTTACTTTGAAATGCACCATCTACCTAAAGATTGTTGTAGACCATGTACACCCCTTCATGGCATTGGTGTTCTCTGATGGCAAATTGTTAAGAAATGGTGTGAGGAACATGAAAAAGAGTTTAAGTTGTTGCCTTGGTCTCCAAATTCCCCAGATATCAATCCAATAGCGTCTTGATCCAATGAGAGATCTGACTGCCATTCTCAAGAAGGAGTTTGTTGCAAAATTGTAATGTGTTGAACAGCAAAAACAGATGTGATAAAGATTGGACTTGATGAACACATGTCTCTTTTCGGCCTGTGTAACTATGTTATGAACTGGAACAATGAATCAAGTACAATGGGGCGATGTTGCGGCTCCTGGCCCGCCGCATGGTGCAGCTGTGCCCGAC